GCACAACCGTAAGCTGGCCCGTTACCCTGACTGTGTGCAATATTAACCCTCCCTGTAGCATTCCACATCTCGACATTGCTTCAGGTCTCTGAAATTGCGAAGCAGCAACGCGAGAATGCCGCTGCGTCTGATATGCTGGAACGTGCCCTTTTTACATTTGGTCGCTCTGTGCACTCGACCTTTGCTGCTAATCTCGCGGCTGGTAAAGCACGGCTAGACTTTCGCCGTCCAGAAAACCGCGAATTTTGGCTTGCTGTTTGGCGTTATCTCGGTGCATTGAGCACACGCGCAACATGGCGGACGTCGTTTGAGTGGGCCAAGCTGCTACTCGCCATGGACCCCGAACAAGATCCTTACTGTCTCCGACTTCTAATTGACCAACTGGCTTTGAGGGGTCGGGATGCTGAAGGGTTGATCAGAATCGCTGAATCAGACCATCTGCAGCGACAATGGAAGATTCCACCAAACCTGGCCTATAGCGTTGCGCTCGCTCACGACCGCATGAAGGAACCACAGAAGGCGCGGTCAGCACTCCGCACTGCCATCAAACAGTACCCGTGGCTAGCGGCGAGGCTGTGCAAGGAGCTCGATATATCGCCAATACCTAAGCCTGTATGGGGCAAGGAACCCAATAGCGACTACCAAGAGTTGCTCTGTCAAATGTATGTGCCAAAAGCAAAAGACTTGTGGAACACGACAGAAGGCACCACGTTACTGGTGGAGACGTGTTTTACAGTCGGAGAGGACCTAGGAGCAGGCGAAAATCCGTACTTGCTTGCTCAAATACCGGAAAATGATCTCGCGAGGCATGTGATATTGTCAGACAACCAAACACTCATGTCGCTGCTCGACGTACGCGTCAAGTCCAAATATACCTCTGTGTCAGATCCACTGCCTCCAGACGACAATTTGGAGTCTTATGATGCTTCAATAAACGGTATTGCGGCGGGGCGTCCACGAGACCCGGCCGTGCGACAGCAGCTGGTGGCTGAGCTGGAGCGGTACCGGGAATACTTTGAGAGGATAGGCATCGACAGGTTGATGCAACAGGGGCTGAACGAGCACGACTTGATAGAAGCACTGGAGGAGGCAAATAGCAGCGTCGAGGAGTTTAGGACTAACACTGAGGGCTTCCAGCTGGTGCGCATGAGGCTCGCACAGGAGGGCGTACAGGTGGTGTTTGACGAGGGTGCTGCGGACCGGGGGGATGAGCCTGGATCGGAGACAGATGAGGACGAGCAATAAGCAAATGGGCACGAGCACAGGCACTCTGGCGAGATATGACGCCAGCATGGTGGTGCAGTGAGATGGTGTTGCATGTACATGGACACGTATATTTGTACGTAGTATGTATGTAACTAGCAGTATGTAGTAGTGCTATGTATAGCAGACATGACCAAGTAATTGTGCAGCCTCGCTGCGCCGCCTGCAAGCGCCAAAGGCATGGGGAGTGTGGCGCTGTCGAGCCAAAGGAGAGACAGCCATGTCTGTGCTCGGCTCGCTAAGAAGGCTGAGAGACCCTGGTGGCGCTCACGACTGTGACGTACCCAAGGATTGCTGATAGCCGCCTTTCCATATCGCCTAGGGGCCCGCTCTCCTACCCACACGCCCGCGTCTGCACGTGCGATCATACTCGCATCGCTCTGCATCCCCTCTTGTACTTACACATCCCACACATACTACACTTCGCCGCCACTTGTCCTCTCCCTCATCGCTCCAGTTTCCCCCTCATCTCACCTGTCGCTATGAGCGGCGTGCGTGCTCACCTCGCCAGCCGGCTCCGCAGCTCCTCCCTATCCGCAGTCCCCCCTCCACAGCACAGTTCCAACTACTCTCACGACCTGGCCAAGATTGCATCCTCCATCCTCTATCGCTCGCCCCTGCCTTCGGAAGAGGGAAGGCCTGTTTTCATCCTCAACGCTGCTGCCCTCCCGGACTCCCACGATGCCGATTACGACCAGCTACTTCCCTACGTCCTTGCCCGTCTGCCCGAGGAAGATGAATTGCTAAAAGGCTATGAATACGAAGTCGTCTTCTTTGCCGGAGACGGCGATGGCTCCGCAACCAGCAAGAAGCACAGGCCGGGTTGGGGCTGGTTTCTACAGGCCTATCACGTCCTCTCAAGGGCCATGCGCAAGAGACTTCAGCGACTATACATCGTGCACGAAAAAGCATGGGTGAGAATTCTGACTGAAATATTCTCGACCATTGTAAGCCCCAAGTTCAGGAGGAAGATATATCATTGTACGCTTGCCCACACCATCTCCGCGCCTCCATACTGACTAAATATAGTGTCCAGCCTGACTCAACTTGCCCGTGAAATCCCTATCGAGAACCTTCTGATTCCCCCCTCCACCTATCTCGCCGATCGCCGTGTAACTGAAAACATTTCTGCATTCAATAGCAGCGGTAGGCGGGCATTTGGGACCCGCAATCCCTTCCCTGCCGCAAGCAATGGCAAGACCCGCTTTCCACGTGTTCTGAGAGAGACGACCAGCTTCGTTCTCATGGAAAAGAACATCACTTCGGAAGGCTTGTTTCGCGTACCTCCCCACTCCAGATTGCGCGATTCGCTCAAAGAAGCGTACGACAGAGGTCAAAAGTACATAATCTGGAAAGATAACGACATCATGTTGCCAGTGCCTCCCTATCCTCATGCAGAACACCAGGATGAGATACTGGCCGAGCTGCCTCCCACCGATGCATACTCAGTCTACATGGCAGCCGCACTCATCAAGGCCTGGTACGCTGCTTTACGTCAGCCAATCTTTCCCACGGAATCCTACCGCGACTTGCGTCGGCTGTACGGAAACGGCAAGGAGGTTTTTGAGCTCGACAAGCTGACTGATCTCTTCTCCCCAAAGTCTGAATGGTCGTTGTTGCCTGGCATATCCCGTGAAATTCTTTGCCGCCACCTTCTGCCCCTCACGAGTGCAATAGCGGCACGGCAAGAAGAAAACAAAATGACTGCCGAGAACTTGGCTGTCTGTTTCGCTCCAGGGCTACTCTGCGGTCCTGATCAGCTTGAAGATGCAAAAGTGTCTTCCATCATAAGGAGGGTCCTCACTCAAGCAATTGAAATGTGGACGGATGGATTGAGAGAAGCATGTGGTCAGAAAGAAGAAGTCTTTTACGCAGAGCTGAAGTTACCCAGTGATCAGAATGACTGGGACGATCCTGTCGAGGATAGGAGAGACTCAACAGACAGTGAAGTGTCTTTGCCTGACCAGATACAGGGCATCACGTTGCTTGACAACGAGAAACCATCGGCTTCACGCAATCCGCGCCGAGGTCAACAAGATGAGCAGCCACCCGCTCTTCCTCCTCGATCTCACGCACCATCTACCAAGTCTTCTGTAGATTCCATTCAAAGGAAGCCTGCACCACCACTCACAGTGCCTCCACGTTACTCTACTGTCATATCAGATGCCCCCGACGACGTTGCCGAGTCGCCCATCACCTTCGCTGCAACTACCGACGGTTTCGCTCCACCCCGTAATGATAATAACAGCGCCGATCAGCCTCCCAAGCTCCCCCCACGACGGGACGCCCAATCAGATGAGAAGAAGTCTGGTATGAACAACCCAGTTCCAGTCCTTCCTATGTCCGCTTCTGAACGCGCAAAACAAGATGCGCGCTCACCAGTTTCTGCTACTTCTCCAGTGTCTCAATTCAATATTCCCAAAAGGAAGACCCTGACTGCGACGCAGATTGACAATGTCGAGAAGGCCGTCGTCGCGAACAACGAAGCCCACCGAGCCCAGCCTGTAGGCGGCATGGCGCTTCCCGGGCTCACGGGTAACTATAACAGTAATAACAAAGCAGACACGAAGCGTGGCCCATCTTCTGCAGCCCCATCTGTCAAAGACGACACAGCAACCTCACCGCAGCTGCCGTCACCTCAAAGTGCTGTATCAGCACCAGCAACAGAATTCCGCCGCCCAAGCGTCCCTTTCTCTGCAACTCCTTCCAAAATAAGCCGTAGCCCAAGTATCAACTCCCTCGCGCGCCCTGTTTTTCCAACTACCCCTCAAGTCCCCATAATAAGCCACCCCGTGCCGCATAACAAGACCTCGACATCCACTCTCCCCATCCCCTCTGCCGCACCGCGCCTCCGCACCCCGAGCCCAAGCCTCATGCAGCGCATGCCTAGCTTCGAAAAGTTTAACAAGAATTCTGCTTCATCGCCCAAAGACGATGCCGCCGAGTCGTCGGATGGAAGTGTTTCAAGGGGCAGGGCGACGCCGCCGACGACACTGAGGCCCACCAAGATTACGCTCAAGAAACAGTCTGTGGAGGACTTAAGACGGTTGTATGAGGAGCGTGCTGGGACGGCGAGTGCGCTTGTACAGGCGGGCAAGCAGAAAAATGGATAATTGGGGTGTTTAGTTTCTTCCTTGTTCTTCTCCTTGTCTTTTTTTTTTTCCTTTCGCTTGTATATAATGGGATATGCTTCTTCTGTTTTGGGGCCAGAGGGAGAAGGGGGACATGTCTGGGTGGTGCATAATGTATACTTGTTACATCTGAGTTAAGAATATATACATAATGTTAGTAGTCATGTATTACTCTTCTTTCCATTGAATTTGCCTTGTGGCTCTTGACAGGACTTTTGTGTAGTATAGATGATCCTAGGACGTCGAAAAAAACCAGACATGGGAACACTTTGCCTAACAACAAACATGGCACCAATGCTTTGATACTCTAAGCTGTCTACGTACGTAGTTACACACTATGCCGCCCCACGCTTGACTTGCACCAGGCATTTCGTAATCTCAAATCAAACACACCATGCACACGAAAAAAAAAACGCAAAAAAAAGAGAAACCGAAAAACATAACAGGCCCTTGCACGAGTATACCCGCTCTTGCAAACACAAGGGCACAAAAAGATTATGCCATACGTACGGTACATAAATCATGTCCTTACTTTCGTATGCCTTGCCGAAAAAAAAAGAGTCTTCCTCTTCCCTCATCAGCTACACCAACTCGACAAGATGGAAACTACCCATGAGTTCCGTAGACAGTGGTCGTAGGATGAACTTCCTCTCCCTCCTCACCCTTGGCCCTTGATGTCTGCCAACCCATGTGTCCAGGCGCTGCGCCCGCACTCTGCCACCACGTGCTACTGTATCCATCCTGTCCATGATGTTCGCGATGCCCGTGATGTCCATCGTGTGCATCTGAAGGGTACCCCACACCGTCTGTTGGCGCGACATAGGCTTGTCGGGGTGCGTACGAGTGCTCGTGCTGGTTGTTTGGAGCAGAGTACACGTTTGATGCAACACCCGTGTTGAAGCCGTTGACGTGGCTGGAACGCCAGTCTTCGCTCATCCTGAAATCATCGCGTACTAGACGGTTATCTATGTTGGTGTTATCGTGTAGGACACTTTCCAGGACCATGGGGCCTATTTGTTGATAACTGTGGCGGGGCAGGATGGGGCCAGACATACCGGGCATGGCTAGCGTGTAGTGTCAGACTATGCTCAAAATAGAATCTAAGATGATCTACTTACGGTTCCAAAACATGGACTCTGCCGTGTCTGTGGTGGGTGATGTTATTGAGGCAGACATGTTGGTGGCCGACGACATGGGCTGCGCGTACTGGTACGGAAGCGATATGTTGGAGTTATAATTGCTTTGGATAGGCTCGTGCCCAACTACGGGCGATACGTGGCGTTGGGTAGATACCACACTGCTCGGTCTCGAGTGTGCGGGGTGTGTAGCCAAATGCATCATATTTTGAGGGGCAAACATTGACAAACTCTCTCGTCGTTGAGATTGAGCGGAATGGACCGTCCCAGGCCCTGCATTACCACTACTGGCTGTAGAGTTCGGTATCATTAGAGGGGCATCTGCTGGAGGACTCATGTGCCGGTGGGAACTTTCTGAGTCGTTCTTCGGTAGCAATATTGAATTGCTGAATTCTTCCGGAAACGGCAGGTTCCAAGTCTTTGACAAATTATGTATGATTCGGAAGGCCCTTGCACCAAAGTAGTGGCATTCGTGAACATCTTCAAGACCTTGTAATCCCTCGACGAGATTTTGCCGAGACACCTGGTTTTCTTTGGAATAGAGCAGATGTATTGTGCAGACAGTTAACAGCACATGTGTAATAACCAAATGTGCTTGCCGGAAGTTGTACAATTGCCGATGAATCCTGACAATTCTGGACACGTTGTTGGCTGCGTCAATACAGATGTCACGCGGGCGGATGTCGGATTGGATGAGGTCGACCTTGAGTAATGGCCGAAAGAGGTGAATGATAATTGTGTAGTAGAACATGCTATGTGCTTTGTTAACTTTCGGATAATTCCAAGAGAGAGAGAGAAAAATAGAGGGCTGTTGGACATACTGTAATGTCAGAATGTGTGGTTGTGGTTCTTTGTTGCCCTCGATTCCCAAAGAGACTGGCAGTTTTCTGTACCAGGCTTGATATTTGTAGTAACAGTCAAGAAGTTTTTGGCTAGTAAGCCGCTCTTTTGGAGCAAAGAACATATGGTTGTTGTCATTGATGAGTTCTGAAAGCGTTGAGAGCTCTTGTAGGAACATGCGAGAGGTTACAACACCGCTACAGGTGTGTGAAGTACCAGGAAACGCTTCTGGGCCGCTTGTTGTCTCGTCAAGAATAGGCTTTTGGAGTGTGATTGAAGATCGGGGGATTTGGGAGATTCGACCTGTAGCGATTGTCCACACACTTTTTTTGCATTAGCCAACATAACCGTGATGTCTGTGAGAATATACGTACTTTTCTACGGTAAAGCAGCCCCAGAAAGTAACTTTCCGAACCTCGACTTCGCTGGGTGTCAAACCAAGCACATTTTCTACACCGTAATCCAAATGCAACCCGAGTTCGACACACATGCGTATGCATCGCCCAATGTAGGAGAAACCAGAGCTGTCTCTTCCTGCGCTGGGCTCACGAAGTGACATGACACAAAGCGCCTGTACTGTCGTGAGACTCGGGGTTTCATCCTCAAATAACAACCGCCTAGCTTCGTCGAAGAAATGATCTCCTGCCGTGCGGAAGTCGGATGGATCAGTACGACCAGCGGGGTCGTCTGTCATGTGGCAAGCATATGCGCATATGGCATTGACGAGCAGGGAGCAGCAGTACTTGTCGCGGCCAGCTCTGAAATCTTTGTAGAAACACTCTCGGCTGAAGAGGACGTAAAATGGATGGCTCCATGTGAAGTAGAGGTCGAGTAGTCTCTCGACAAAAGATAGATCGTCAGTAACATTTGTCCACGTTGATCCCTGGCGCTGTGGTTGGACACTGCTGATACGAAGCTGTCCGCCGCTGAAATTTTCTTCTTCACGGACGAGGCTCAGGCTGGCAGAGTGTCCAAAGTGCCGGCTTTGGCCAGAGAGGGTTACAGCGGGCTTGCCGAGTAGTACACTGAAATCAGATTCAAGGCTTTGGCTCTCCGTGGGCGTGACGGGGGTCAGGGTTACGTTCTTGCGCCATGTCTCTGCCAGGGCTTCGTTGTCAAGGTCAGGGTTGCCTCGAATGAGCTGAACAAGCTCGCTGACGTGATCCTCTGGCAGCTTCCGGAGGCAGTCAAGGATAAAATCTGCATTGGAAGGGCCCCCAAGGGTGAGGCTGGTGACGGAGGAAGCATCGCGCTTGGTTCCTGCGTTGTTGGAGGTTGCCTGTCCGGCTTTGGTCCGCCGGCTCTCGCTTTCAGCGTCGTAGTGGCAATCAGTCTTGTAGACAGCTGTGCAGGTTGCGCAGACGGGCGTGCCGCCGTCACACTGTGGATAAACGTGTCAGCAAGGGAGCAAACCGCAAGGCTCTGACAGGTGGCCAGACATAATCTTGTCAGTGTCACGATGCGTGGAGCAGTCCGCGGAGGCAAATATCGACGGATGAAGCTATGCCCCTGTTTATTGTTACGAGGTTGTGCATCGAGAAGTTACTTACTTTGGACTTGCGTTTACGACATGGGACACAGGCAGATTGCACGCAGCGACGCTTAGTTGTCTTTGTGTCTTGAGAGTGAGCGTGGTCCTGGCTGTCTCTAGCAGAGGAAGTGGCAGTGGGCCCGCGAGGCATTGTTGGTCAGCGAGCAGGAAAGAATGTCAGTCCACACGGGGCTCCGAGGGCGGATCTAGTTATGACATTGTCTGAGTTGAGCTGGAGAAGTATGTAACACGGGAGATCAGCCACTTGGAGGGAGAGCGAGAAGAGGCGATGACCAATTAGGTAGTTGTGACGTTTGAGGGCCTGTTGCGGCATCCAACGTGCCTCCCCTGGGAGTGCCTTGGCGGATGGGATATAAGATACAGTTACATGTGTAGATTTTATGGCCGGGTGGCGGGCAGGGATGGGCCAGCACCAGGTGGGCGAGGAAGAGGGTCGCTGAGGCTAGCAGCATGGCCAGACGGGCAAGGACAGGATGTTGTGCAGTAGCCAAGCGGCGAACAGGGCAAGGAACATGGCAAAGTTGCACGCAAGTGGGAATTCGAATCGAGAGGCTAGAATGCCATGAGCCCCCCCCCTCGTCAGCTGATCGCCCCGTTGGCGCGCCCTTGGAGCCCGAGCCCGTCGCCAGCCTTTCGCGAATATGGGAGCGACGCGATACCGGAATCGACGTCGCAGGCCAAGGGGGGCCACATCGGGCCATCGAGTGGGGGCGCCTGGGGGGAAGTTTTGCTCTGCTGTACTTACGTATAGCCTCAGGTGGTGGACGAGCAGAGATTTTTTCTGAGCGTTGTGGTCGCAGCTCCTCCGCACGCAGGCGTGAACTGCTGCTCCTACTAGCTTCGGCACGCTACGCCGAGCGAGTGCCGTGGCAATGAGGAGGGCCTCGCCGCCATGCCGCGGCAACAGACGGCCTGGTTCCACTGCCGCGCTGCCACGGCCGACTTGCGAGGACAGCACGGCGGATGGCAGCATTCAGCATTGGTGGCAGCAGAAAAGTATGTATGTACGAGAGTAGCTTGTTTGAGGCCAAAGATGGATGGGCCAGACGTGCGACGGCGACGTTCGTGGCCAAGGTCACGCTGGCGCATGCAAGCGAGCTCACTGCCCGCCGCTGATTGGCGGACCGCCACCCGGTGGCTGAGTGCCGGTTATGGTGCTGGCATAGTGCCTCTACTTGCGCCTCCGCTCCTCGGCCGCGACCGTCACTCCATCCCAACCTCACACAATAGCAGCTGCCCAACTACCCACCGCCCGTCCCAGACTGAGACGTCGCGGCCGCTAGCTAGTTCGCCCACCCATTACCATGGTTGCATGCACCGCTATCTCCAGCCGTAGGCCCCCCTTCCAGCCCCAGCAACAGCCGCACCAGCACCCGCACTCGCACCCGCACACTGTCTATGCTATCCCTTCGATTGGTAATCTCACCACCCGAAACTCGTGTCTAGAGTACATGTAGCCGCCCCTCTGCCACGCCTACTCCTCGCCCCCGCCCTGCATCTGTACCGGCACCACACCCTTGATCGCCGGCAACAGGCTCCGAGCGCCCTGTCGTGCCTGTTGCGCCAGCACTGCATCCATGATCACCAGTGCTGCCATGCTCTCCACGATGGGCACGGCACGGGGCACCACACATGGATCGTGTCTGCCCTTTGCCTCCAGCACACCGTCCTCCTGGTCGTATGTTACAGTCGACTGGGCTTGCCCGATGGTTGCCGCGGGCTTGAACGCCACATTAAAGTAGATGGGTGCCCCATTGCTGATGCCTCCTTGGATGCCTCCCGAGTTGTTTGTCTTGGTGGTGAGCTTGGGCTTCGAGCGGAACACCTTTGCAGACGGATTCTCCCCCGCGGGCACTGCGGGCGCCTTGATGAATGGGTCATTGTGGATCGACCCGGGCACCTGTGCCCCTCCAAAACCAGATCCAATTTCAAATCCCTTAGTCGCTGGAATCGACAGCATGGCGTGCCCCAGCTTTGCCTCGAGCTTGTCGAAGCATGGCTCTCCCAGACCTGTTGGGCAGTTCCTGATGACACAGGCCACTGTACCACCAATGCTGTCCTGCGCGTCTCTGTACTTGGCAATCAAGTCTTCCATGCGCCTGGTAACCTCGTCGCTCGGGCATCGTACTGGTAGGTACTCATCCACCTTCTCCCGTGTAATGGTGTCGACGAGTTTGAGGAACTCTGGGTTTGTGGATGCTGTTGGATGCTCGGGCGTAGGGGGGAACAGGAACTCGTTTCCAATCGAGTTTGTGAATGCAACTATTTCGATACCGTAGGCTTCACGTAAGTACTTTTCTGCAATCGCGCCAGCCGCTACACGTCCTGTATTATGTCAGCCGCAATGCGCCCTAGACGTACATTCGACCACGTACCAATAGTCTCACGAGCACTACTCCGGCCACCTCCAGAGCTAGCCTTTACTCCGTACTTCTCCAGGTACGTCCAGTCGGCATGGCTTGGTCGCGGGTACTTGTCCATTGTCTGGTTGCCGTAGTCTTGCTTGCGCTGGTTCTCGTTCATGACCCTTATGCCAATCGGCGTGCCCAATGTGATGCCAAACTCTGTGCCAGACTGTATCTCAACCCGGTCCTTTTCGTTGCGTGGGGTGGTGATGGCTGACTGGCCCGGTCGGCGGCGCGTCATCTGGGGTTGAATGTCCGCCTCTGTGAGCGCCATGCCAGGTGGGCAGCCGTCGATGATGGCTCCGACCGACAGGCAGTGGGATTCGCCATAGCTTTCACGAGTTCAGTATGTGCGCCTTGTGTATGTAGGGTGAATGCGTACGTGGTGACCCGGAAATGTGTTCCGAACGTGGACATGGTGGCTTCAGCGGAGGGGTACCAGTTCGACTGCTGGGTGTGCGGACGGGGCTTGATATGAGAAAACCAGGGGAAGATGTGATCAATGTACACAGAAGCTGACTGAGGGGTCTGTAAGGTTTGTGTGCGTGTAGAGTCTATTGCAAGTCGGGCCAAACGCGTGCGCTAGAACGACCAACGTCAGAGTCACTCTAGGAGTTTTATTTTAGTGGAGCGCGGAGCAGGGTCGTCTGGGTTTCCGAAGTCGGCCGCCGATGGTAAGGCTGCTTTGACTAGAGCCATGTTGCTTCCCCATCGAACGCCTTTAGGCACAACAACAAAAGTCAGTCAAGGTCAAGAGAGGATAGGATGAATTATGGAGATATGCTTTAGGGGAGCGTTGATTGTGTGATTGGGTAACATGTTGCAATACCATTGGATGGGTTCGGGACAGGTGCATCATATGGCTGCAATCATGTGCTCAAAGCCAGAAGCAGGCAATAACGTCTTCTGTCCATAAGTACATACAGTAACACAAGGCACGGCAAATGCCGTGTTTCCATCCCAGACATGAGTGACAATGTCGAGCTATGGATGACGAATGTTGTCATAATCACGTGATCGGCCAGTCAGCATACACCAAGTATGAGTATTTATGAACACAACTACATATGTACGTAAGCATGTGTTGTTCTTGCATTGTTCCATGCTTGTGGGCAGGGGAGGGCTGGCGAGTGATCAGGTGGGGTCCAGCAATTGGAAGGTCAATGCCATAAGGGGCCAATCGTACAGCTAGACATAGCTGCTGGAATGGCGTCAGATACCTCTCATCGTCGCTGAATTAAAAGGCAGAATGCCCGCCATGCAAGGCACAGCGCCATGACGGCAACGGGTGAAGCTGCCAAAGGCGCTGCCGAGTTCCAGTGCCGTGAGCCAGAGCGACAATGAGCCTCAGATGCGCGCACGTTGGCGACCAAGTGGCAGGCTGTGGCAGGCACGAAGATCGCCCGGGATCTTAGCGCGGACCCTTGCCGTGACCTCTCAAGAAGTTTTGCGCCTGGCCAGCAACACCACCCCCAAAACACCCCTCTATTCTTCCAATTGCACCCCAAACAAGCCGCCATCATGCCCGAGTACGTCAAGGTTGAGAGCATCATCCCCAAGGTCCCCCCGCCGGCCTTCAGCGACATCGCAAAGGCCTCCAACGACGTATGTTTTGGTTCCCCCACGACGAGCTTCACAATAGCGCCATTGCTAACCCGCACCCCCTCTAGCTCATCAACAAGGACTTCTACCACACTGCCGCAGGTCAGACGCTCCCATTGACTCTGCGCGCCCATCTGCTAACCCCTCACCAGCTGCCCTCGAAGTCAAGCTCAAGGCCCCTAACGGTGTTAACTTCACTGCCAAGGGTACCTCTGCCCACGATGGCCCCGTCACCTCCTCTGTCAGTACACTGCCATCAATCGCTAAAGGATGCAATTCGCTGACAGAAGCTACAGCTCGAGGGAAAGAAGTCGCTCTCCAACGGTACGGCAATAACTCGTTCATTTTTCCCCCGCTCTTTCAGCCTAAGCATACCTTTTCATTCATCACCCGGCTTTCACTCGTACATGTTTCACTCGGCGCAGCCTCCAGGAATCTGGGGCTCGTCCATTACAGGCTACGGACTCAATTGGCTGACGACAAACCGTGCAGGCATCAGCATCACCCAGTCATGGAACACTGCCAACCTGCTGGCTACCAAGGTTGAGCTCAACGACACCTTCGCTAGCGGCTTGAAGACTGAGGTCCTCTCCAACTTCAGCCCCGCGGCTGGTAACAAGGGCCAAAAGGTCAACCTTCACTTCAAGCAGCCTGCCTTCCACGGTCGTGCTTTCGTCGACTACTCTGCTGCTGGCGCTATTGGCACCACCGCTGATGCTGTCGTTAGCCACGAGGGCATGGTTGTTGGTGGTGAGGTTGGTTACGATGTCCAGAAGGCTGCCATCACCAAGTACTCGGCTGCCGTTGGATACACCACTCCTCTCTACAATGCCGCTGTCACTGCCACCAACTCCCTGAGCGTCTTCACTGCTTCTTACTACCAGCGCGTCAACCCCGCTGTCGAGGCCGGTGCTCGCGCAGTCTGGGACTCAAAGTCCGGCAACAACGTCGGCCTTGAGCTTGCCGCCAAGTACAAGCTTGACCCTCTGTCCTTCGCTAAGGTACGCCTTGGTCCCTGACATGCACATGGATATGTATGCTAAACCCTTCTAGGCCAAGATCAACAACCTCGGCATTGCTTCCCTCGCCTACAACACCAAGGTCAACAGCGGCCTGACCTTTGGCATTGGTGGCTCTTTCGATACCCAGAAGCTCAACGAGGCCGGCCACAAGCTCGGCACCAGCTTCACTTTTGAGGGTTAAGCGTCTCTCCGGGATGCTCCTGTAGTAGATCGCAGGATGGAGAAAAAATGGACAGAGCCTTTGATTTGCTTTGGTTCTCGCGAAGCAGTACCATATGAATATAGTCTAGAAAGAAGACTAGTAGTCTTGTGCTTTATGCAGTAGGATAATCTTCTTCAATGCAAGCCTTTCAAGACTGTGTACATACATGTATTCTGAATGATTAAATATGGACTAGGTGACATGTGATTTTATAGATGTGCATGTTTCGATTGATTTCCGGAAAGTTTCTAGAATCAGATCTCTCACTAGTAGAGACGGGAGGCACCGCTACTAGTAGTTCCCCACATGTTGGGAAACAGGACTTGTGGAGATGCCGATGCACCTGCAGGGCATGACCTGACATGACACCACGTATAAAAGTTACCAGGCACCTGGTTTTGGGCTATCGCAACAGGTCAGGGGCACGTAATGCAGGGCTGTACTCTGGCCTTGGGTCGATCTCCCTTAAAGACGCGAAGAGCGTTTACAAAATGGGTCTAGTGTGCTCCGATTTCTAAGGTAGCGTAGTGTAAACGATATCTATGTGATGTATCAATCAGGTGGTTTCTTTCCTCTTGGTAGTAGTAGTATGCCCATCGTGGCGATCACCAAAAATGTTTGCCGTCAGCCCAGCGAGCGCAATAACGCCCGACACCATGATAAAGTTGGCGAGCATATTGCCCTTTTCCCACTCTTGTTCCACTTTGACTGTCCCATGCATCTTTCTCCGTCGGGCCCATATGTGTTCTTGTACATTTTCGTGCATCTCTCTATGCTGCTGGTCGTTAAAGTGCGGGACCGCATTACCCTGGCTCTGCTGGCCAGGCCCAAAGCCGCCATAGTCGCCGTAGCTTTCCTGGCCTGCGCCCTTGGCATTTGCCCCTTCTGAATGCGGGCTCGAATATGCGTATTCGGCTCTCTTCGCGCCGTGTCTCCCGTAGCCCCCTGATTTGTAAAACGATGGTGGAGGGCCTCGGAAGGTGCTGCGTTTCTTGTTTAGCCCGCTCGCTGGGCGGGACCCGAATGCGGCCGAGCTATAACTCCCTTGGGGAATGTCGTTGCCACCCTTGTCCCAGCGCGATTGTCGCTGCGCAGACTCGAGCTGCGCATCGTACTGTGCACGCTTTTCGGGGACAGAAAGCACATGGTATGCTTCACTTATCGCGACAAAGCGTGTGGAGGCGTCGGGATCATTGCGGTTATGGTCTGGGTGGTTTTTCTTGGACAATGTGTAGAACTGGCGTTTGATCTCAGACGCAGAAGCGCTCGATGTTAAGTGCAGCGTTTCATAATGGTTTTTCAGCGAATCGGCACATCGTGGGGTCGAAGCATGGAAGTGAGAGATTTGTTGTATGCGCCGCGGAGGTGCAAGTACTGTGCGACGGAGACATGAGTGGCAGACGTATGGCGCGTTGAAGGTCGCTGGCAGAGGAGCCAAGAGTGAAGCGAATGGTCGCAGGAGAACAGATGGGCGGGGTGGCATTGCCCGAGAACAGCATGAAAAAGGGTTACATTAAAAGTTGGTGGTTGAGTGAATGTACGCGGTGCATAGAGAACGTCATCGCCCGTCACGAGGCTAGCACAGGGTCGGATTAGTCTGCAGCGACTCCGAGCCATCGGGCAACTTAGCGGGGGCGTTACAAGGCCCTCGTAAATTTCAAGATCACCCGCAATCCTAGCACCACTCTTCTCGTTGCACAGTCAACATGGCCGCAAAGGTAGCAGACGATGTCGCCAACCTAAAGCGTATGTTTTCATAGAGATTATGGCTATACATCGCCACAGCGACTAATGACGTATAGTGGACAACTCTCAGAGCAAGCCAGCCAACGGCGCGGCGCCAAATAGCGACAAGCCCACGGCCGACGCAGAACACGAAGACTCGGACGATGACAACGAAGCCGAGGACGGTACACTAGAGGCCGGTGAAGGGGCAGCAAAGAAGAAGAAGAAGAGAAAGCCTAGAAAGAAGAAGAAGGCTGGTGCTGCAGGTGCGGGCGGACCCAAGGTGCAGACGGCACCGCCTCGAGTCCGTGTCGACGAGCTCTTCCCCAACGACTCATATCCAGAGGGTGAAATTCAGGAATACGTCAACGAGAACTCGTATCGAACCACCAACGAAGAGAAACGCCACCTCGACCGCATGAACAATGACTTCCTTACTGAATACCGCAAGGGTGCAGAGATCCACCGTCAAGTACGACAGTGGGCGCAGGGATGGATCAAGCCTGGCATGTCGCTGACTGAAATTGCCGAGGGCATCGAAGACTCAGTCCGCGCTCTGACAGGACATCAAGGCCTTGAGGATGGAGATGCGTTGAAAGCGGGCATGGGTTTCCCTACTGGTCTCAGCATAAACCACTGTGCCGCCCACTATACACCAAACGCAGGCAACAAAATGGTCCTCAACTACGAGGATGTCATGAAGGTCGATTTCGGTGTCCACATCAATGGTCGTATTGTCGACAGCGCCTTCACCCTGACGTTTGATCCCGTCTACGACAACCTTATCAACGCGTGCAAGGCCGCTACAAATGCCGGTATCAAAGAGGCCGGTATCGATGTCCGTATGAGCGACATTGGTGCTGCTATCCAGGAAGTCATGGAGAGCTACGAGGTAGAAATCAAGGGCCAGATGCTGCCCGTAAAGTGTATCAGGAACCTGAACGGACACTCCATTGGCCACTTTACCATTCACGGAGGAAAGACGGTACCTATCGTTAAGGGAGGCGACCAGACAAAGATGGAAGAAGGTGAAACTTTTGCCATTGAGACCTTTGGTAGCACAGGAAAGGGTTATGTCCGAGACGATGTAAGATTCCCCTCATTCTACATCCTAACAGCTCGCTAACAATTCTTCCTTCTGCAGATGGAAACCTCGCATTATGCCAAGATCGCCGATGCACCCAAAGTCGCTCTTCGCGTCTCGTCAGCAAAGACGCTACTCAACTCTATCACCAAGAATTTTGGCACCCTGCCTTTCTGCAGGAGATATCTTGATCGCTTGGGTCACGACAAGTATCTTTTGGGTTTGAATAACTTGGTTAGCGCAGGTATTGTAGAGGCGTATCCTCCACTGTGCGATATCAAGGGAAGTTATACCGCACAGAGTGAACACGTAAGTCCTGATACTAACACCCGTACACTGGAATGTGCAAGCTAATACGGTGTAGACGTTTGTCTTAAGACCAACGTGCAAGGAGGTGCTGAGCCGCGGTGACGACTACTAAGCGACGCATCTTTACGAGCAAAAACAAAACATCTGAAGGGAGGATGGGCATATCAGGTTTTGAGAAATAGGAGAGAGCTACAATGGAAAGTAAGCGCAACGACGAAATATCATCACTAGGCATAGTTTGATTTCGTCTTCTCCAAAGAAAAAGAAAAAATAGCATGATCAGGATTCTGTGTAAACACTCGATTAAGAATAGAGTGGAAATGAAAAAGAATATTCACCAATTTTAGAGATGGCGAGTAGTGCGTGTTAGATGCGGGGCGTCATGCTTGTACTTTTGCTTTTTCTACGACTTATTGGTTGTGGTGAGAAGACGCACCTTTGCAAGATATGCTCCATATTATATTCTCATTTCATCTAAATTTATTATTATTATTATTATTATTATTATTAAAGTAGCTGTAGAAGTAGCTAGTATCTCTTCTATCTCACCTAACCAATCTCCAATGTTCTGTCTCAATCATGTCATACCCTCTTGATGCGAAAAGCCTCCGGGCTAGACTCATCAACACAGTCTGACTGCACAAGCAGTTCGTAAAAGCCTCTATGCAGCCTCTGCACCGCCCCCGAACCACCCGTCTTCTGCTTGCTTGCAAGCATAATCTGAACCATGGGCCTAACCGTATGCCAAAGATGAAATACACTCAACTCCGGCTTCCGGCACACGTCCATCAAAGCTACATTCCGCTTATACAGCGTCCAACCCGACGCTGTCCCCTTGTCCGTTTTCTCCTGGCACAAAGCATACCCGCTCTCCCACATACCAGGCAGGCGCAACTCGCCCTGCCTATACAAGTCTTCAAAATGATCCCATATTCCTGTCGACGACCACATGTCAACCCACCAGTACGGCACCACGACGCACATTTTCGAAAACGACAATGCTGCAGCGCCGAGATTGTGTGGTTTGTAGAATGTGGTGAAGAAGCCCGGGCGATCTAGGGTCCAGATGCTGCCGCCGAAGACGTAGAGTTCCCAGGAATGACCTAGTTCGGCAAGGTGCTCTGAGGCTTGGTGGAGGGGCTCGATGGAATCGGTTTCGGGGGCCCTGTTGTTCACATCAGCATAACTTTCTTTGTTGTTTCAAGGAGGAAGACTTTGTGCTATGTGCTTTGTTTGGGAAGAAAAAAAACTTACCAAGGCTTGACTTCCCTGCTAAGACGGTATTGCCACACGATGTGCGCGAGTTCATGACATAGCGTGATTGCGAGTTGTAGATATAGCGTTTTTAGTTCGTGAGCGGAGCCGCCGTGGCTCAAGAGGTACTTGAGACTGAACAAATACTGGGTGTGCAGGATGATGCGTGGAGTGTCGAAGAAGGGGTATGCAGCCGCCAGTATGAGGCTGTGGCGGAATCGTATGTACGCTGCGGTGCTGCCGAATGCGCAGCCATCTATGCGTGCCATGCTTTTGTCGAGGTTTTCGAATCCGATTTCTAATACGTAAGGCAGTTTTTTGGTGAAGAAGACGTGTAGCTCGCTGTCTGCATCGTCGCTGCTTTCGTAGGGCGTGTTTGCTAAGTAGCGTCTGCGGAATTTGTCGACTTCCACTCGACCGAATAGAGTGTGCTTCCACCATTTTAGAATTGCGGGCTCGGTCATCAATTTTGTGGCGATTCGGAGGGCGGGAAGTAGTAGGGTGTAGTCTTCTCGTTTGAGGTCTGGCCATCTTCTGCTCTGGAAAAGAGGGTGGATCTTATTGTCGAGATCAATCTTTGGGAGACGAATTATCCTGCTTAGTTTTCCTCGCCAGCCATATGGTATAGCTCCAGAAGTAATCCTAGGGCTTTGAAGCGCTGGTAAGTAATCCAGATCAGCCCCTACATCTGCATTGAGATTTCTCAGGCATGCGCTAGGGGAAGACATGGTTATGGTGAGAGGAAGTTATTCGGGAGAAGAGCTAAGGGCTTCTTTTTCTTGTGAGTACGTTGTGGGAAGGCTCAAGGGAGGCTTGGGAAGTGCGAGAGTGGCTGCGTCTCAAGTAGTGGGAAGAATGACAAGGGGGAACTTCAGAAGTCTGGCCCCCAGTACGCCAGTTTTCTGAAGTACTGCCTCGAAATATAAGAAGGGCGTTTTCCAAAATATGTATTTCTTATTGACGTTTGTGATCCGGTGCCGTGGTTGTGCATCAACTCGTCTCCACTCATTGGCCCAGCGCACTGCTCAACCATAGTTCGTCAACCCTTCTTCTTCGTTATACGATACCTATTTCAATTAGTGAAAGCATGCCCCTTGTCTCTCGCAATTCTTACAGGAACAATTTTTCTCTCGAGTAGACGTCCTTGTCTGGGTCGTCGTCCACCTCCTGCACATCGAACATTTTCCGCGCCGTCTTCATAAAAGTCAGGTCTGCCCGTCTTCTTCGCTTGAAGCAAAAGTAGCACACGGTATTCTCGCCAATCAGATCCTTGAGTGTTTGCTGCAAGAGAGGGAAAGCCGGTTCAAAGTACACACAGTCGGCTGCGAGGATGATGTCCGGGTGAGATGGTAGCTGCGGTGGCGTTGGTTCACCCCAGTCGTACACTGATGCCTTGATACGTGACTCCAGGCCATTGAGAGCGATATTGCGCTCCATAAGGTCAAACATGGGTATCTGATCGGTGATATGTAGCGGCTTATCCACGTTACAACCTATTGCGACAGCTAGTCCAACGAGCCCTCCTCCTGCACCGAGTTCGACGATTTCCTTTCCAGCGACGTCATCGCGATGTTTCCGCAGCATGTACTTGCTCAGGACCATGCCTGCGGGCCACAACTGCCCACCACAGCCGTTCTTCAGATCTTCATGCAGGCTTAGTGGGGGTGATAACAGGCCGTCAAAATCGACTTTGGAGACCCCAGCAGATTTGATAGGCGCAGCAGGTACCAGGTCCTGGCTCACTGCGAAGCCGTCGAGTTCAAGCATTTTTTCGGAATCCTGGGGGGAAAATAATGTTCTAGCAACGGAGAGGTGAAGTTGCCTATCTTTGTGGAGGCTCAAAACAAATTAGTGCGTTGGTGCGGCCCGCAGCGGCGGGACATGCGGGGGCGTTCAAGGCCCGTTGTGGCCTTATGTATACCATCCTGTCCCATCATTCTGGTCATTGGACCGTTCAAGCAACTGGATCTTATACTACATGCCATTCCAGAATATCGATGATGCACCTTGTCGCAACCCTCAGAGATGCAGCCATCCGTACTTAGCATCGGCAAGTAATACGCCTCCGGCCGGCTATCTGCACCCGTCACGATCTCATTGCTTATCTTGTAATCACGGCTAAGATCTACCTCGCGCCTCGGCTCTACCAATTGAAGGTGCGTCCTAGCGAACTGCGTTGCACATGGAAAGCCACAATGCGAGGCATTTCTTGTGGGTGGAGTGGATACCAATAGCAGAATGCGCTCGGTCAAGGTGGCTTGCTCACATCTATTCTATTTAAATTCATGTCTCCCGCCTTCCTCAAAGCCACATCATCACTACATTTCCACAAGGAACCTCCCGGACAGTTCGTGGGCAACGCCATTCCCGAACCTAGAAGCCTACCATGGGTCTCCCAACAGAGGTCTTGCAGGCCTGGGATGCTTGCGACCGTACTGACACTCTTTTCGTACTGGTCTGCTCAGTCTTTTGTACGCTCGCATCTCATAACGGTAGATGGTATTTGCTGACCGAGAAAGGCTGGGGAATAATTCCGGCAGTAGGTATTGCATACAGCGGGTACACTACGCGCTCCAACTCTCTTGCGGCAATTATGCCTGCAATTCTCTCCGTTATCGTTTGCTCAATACAGTGGTTTCTGATCGGATACACGTTAACGTACGGAGAAGGGGGCGCCATCTTCGGAGGTTTCAAGTATGCACTCCACAAAGGTGTTTTGGCGGAGCCCGTGGGAACCATACCAGCAGTCCTCTTTAGCTTCTTTCAACTCGTCTTCCAGGCTACGGTGTGCGCAATTGCCGTCGGTGGTGCCTGTGAGAGAGGCCGCATACTGCCACTGATACCTTTTATTTTCGTAAGCCGAGTAATCTTTTGGAAATTCGATTAATATCCTGATTTGAGTAGTTGTGGTCAACATTCATATACAACCCCCTAGCACACATGGTTTGGGGCGGAGGCTTCCTCATGGATTTGGGCGTCCTGGACTTCGCCGGCGGAACACCGGTGCACATCAACTCCGGAGCAACAGCAACTGCCATGTCTGTTTACCTTTCTTATCCTCTGTTCCGCTCACGCAAATCATCTATACGAACACCATCGCACCTGGTCATCCATCGTCCGGTCAACTCACTCTGCCAGCTACTGGCTATGATTAGTATTTGGGGTTCATGGCTCGCTTTCGATGCTGGAACGACTCTTGCATTCAACTTCAAGTCAGTCATGGCACTTTGCGTTACGAACCTTTGCGCCGCCTCTGGTTCGCTGACGTGGATGCTGTATACGTACATGGAAGTCGGTCGCTGGAGTTTGGACTCTTGCTTTATGGGCGCCATCTCGGGGCTTATCATGATTACGCCCTCGGCTGGCTTTATTGATTTACCAACCGCTTTCTTCTTCGGCATCCTAGGCGCACTGGTCTGCCGTCAGGCACTCCGAATCAAGTTTACTGACTTTGCTCGACGCTGGCGCTGGGTAGACCATGGTGACACTTTTGCAACGCACTGCATTGGTGGTGTTCTGGCTACCATATCGACCGGCTGCTTTGCTCGAAAAGAAGTTGCGGGATATGATGGAGTGACCGAGATCGTTGGAGGCGTCTTCTTTGACGGTAATGCACGGCAACTGGGTATCCAGATTGTGGAAGCTCTTGTTGGATTCACCTGGTCGTTCATTGGAAGCTACATCATTTATGCACTTATTGATTGCGTTCCTGGCTTCGAGGTGTTGGCCGAGGACAAGTGAGTAGTGTCACGGAGCAGGAGACTATATTGCTGACATATACTAGGGACATCATCACAGGCTTGGACGCAAGCCAACTAGACGAGGAAACACTATGGACGGAGACGCAGAAATACTACCCTTATGCTGAACTCGAAGGTGAGCTGCACCTCGATTAAATACAGCGGGGGAGATTCGAATTGGTAATATATGATACAAATGGTGCAAAAGAAGAGAAAACATACTATGTCGATCAAACCAGACGAGAGTAGCCGAGATCACCAAGTGCCAAAGTTAAATTCCCATGTTTATTGCTGGATACGACGGACACTATGTTTGTCCCAAGGTAGTGGAAATTACAGATGATACTATAAGAATACGAGGACACGTGCGCTGTACCAACTACCTGGTTCCAACTCACCGGCAAATCCACCGTCGAAATTAGATCGACAAGAAGACGGGTATTGTTTTGCTCCCTTGACAAGGTTCGATATATCAACCCGTATATACATGCGTACACAAAACCCATCAACTATACACCCAAAACCAAATCTTTCCCCTCTACCCCGCTAAACACCCCAAGCTCCAAGCACACACCCCAACACTGTTATATAAAGCCAAAAAGAACCCCTTGATAAACATATAAGAGTCATCCGCCCAGCAAAAAAAAAGAAGAAACAATAATAACAACACAAAACCCGACATCACCCCTCCAACGCCCTCAACCCCTCGACCAAAACCCCAAAACTCTTCACCCTCTCATGCCCCCTTGCCCCCATCTTCTCCTCCCTTACCACCTTCCCCTCCCCCTCCCCAAACCCCTCCTCCAACTGCCTCTCTACCTGCTCACGATCCAGTACCCTCCTCGCCTCCTCTAATCCGCCTATATCGCGCGCATTCGTAAACCCCATTTCCCTCAGCGTCTGCAGCGCAAGATTGGAGCGGCGCCCGCTGCGGCAGTAGAGCGTGATGCGGTCGTCTTTGGCGACTTGGATCCCCTTTTCAGCGTACACGGCGGGGAGTGTGGAAATGAGTTGGTATTCGATGTTTACAGTGGGGGAAAGGTCTGAAGTCAGGTAGCCGGTGGAGAATTCGCTTGGGGTGCGGACGTCGATGAGGAGGTTTTGGGGGGCCATTTTTCTTTATGTATTGTGTCTTTGCCTGGTTTTCCTTTTTTCTCTTTTATGTGTGGTATATCTGATCTTTGAGTGTGCGTGTGTATGTATGTTTTTCGTGGGATGAATAATGTAATGTATTTTATGTTGCGTGGTTGCTTGGTTTGGGGATGGAGAGAAAGATAGATGTTTGGCTGTGCTTCTCTTAAACAAGGTGACTGATGCTCGTCATCGGCGCGGGGAATTCGCGGAACCCCGAGAAGAGAGACTTCGCCGTACTCGGAGCGCGCTAGCTTTGTAGTCAGTATGTACATACACCACTACGTCTTTGTGCCCCGCCGTGCTGTGCAAAGACTTCTACCTCGAAATATAAGCGCTAGGAGGTTGGGGTGTATATTGCGGTGTTTAGAGCTCGTATGCATTAGTTCGGATAGACCATTGTGAGTGTAAAGACCCCGAATGACGGTGTACTCGGCGACTACCTAGCAGCCAAGGTATGCATAGTAGCACTGAAACCACATGCCCATCTTCACGATCCTTGTGTATCCACCTCAAAGCCGGTGTCATCACGTGTGCACCCCCATCACTTTTCAAAATAAGACTTTCTTTGATGATTTCTTTCATTTGCAAAAGTGCCGGCCAGATTGACTTCTGATGCCAGACACTATGGCTATAGGAAAACCCTTTTTCTCTTCCTGCATCTCCTGCTGTGATGCTTTTCCCCTGCCACCACACTGACAGGCCGTTTGCTACGATAGCGGAATCTTCTCTTTTCAACGCCAAAAACCCAAGTTATTACAGGCTTTTCCAAGTCCAAATGGTTATGCAAAATGTAAGAAATATTGAGCAGATGATTGTAGTCTGCCACGAAAAAAAGACAATTGCCACCCAAAAAGAAAATCGCTGAAGTGGTATAAAACAAACAAAAGAGACTACGGCATTGGTATCGTGAGTGCCCGAGGCATGACGGACGAGAATAAAAGAAACAAAAAACACAAAAAAATTAACGTATGTGAATCAAAAGTGCCAGCCGGTATACATGTGAGCACCGAATCAATCTGGGAGGGGAGACCAGAGAGTACGGCCCACAAAAGAAAACACGCAATGAAGCGAAGTAAACAAGTCTAGGAGCCCTTGAGGTTCGATGTCGAGAAGTTGAAGTTGAGAAACTCGAATTTATCCTTCGAGGTGGTTCGGCTTTCAGCTGACAAGATGCTCTGAGCACTGTTGTCGATGGATGGCGAACCCCTTGTAGAATGCTGTGTGTCGCGCGGTTCGAGAAGCAATGAACGACGGTAGTAGTTTTGAACATTAGCTTGGTCGCTCACACGCATCCTTTGTATCTGGCTATCCATCCAGTCTTGCATTTCTGGGACGGCGGCTAACCGATAGGGGACTTGGAACGACTGCAGTTGGCAGATAATCTTCGCAGTCTTCATGTGCTTGTCGAAATTGATAACAGAGACGCTATCAGACCCAGGGTCGCCAGGGAGCTGTCGCGTAGTACCGTTACCAACATCGATGAATGTGAGATCTGTGAGGTAAATTCCGACGAAAGGAATGCACGGTGCAATGTGGTCTTGAAGACGCTGTCGCAGTACGGCGTAGTTACGTCCAACATCGGTGATTGCTTTCAACTCGTCCAAGCGAGCCTTGGTCTTTGTGGACACGAGGTCCCACGTCCGCTTGAGACGCATGATCATGGAAGAGTTAAGGGAGCAAATGATGGCCATGAGCGAGTCATAGTTGTGCAGCTCCAAGCACTTGGCTGCGATCTTAACCCACTGCTTGATTATGACTGCTCGCTTCTTGGCATCTTCAAGTTGCAAAATGGTATCAGCAACCAGGTTTGCCAGGTCGGTCGAAAGAGTTGACATGGCCTTGACGTTGTGTGCCTTGGAATCCTTCTTCTTGGTCCACTCGAGAGCAAGAAGCTCTTCTGGTTGAATAGCGCAAAAGAGCTTCGATTCAATAATGGTAAACTGTCTGGCAAGCTCCAAAGGATCAAAGTCCATGATGCTGCATTGCGCTTTTCCTTCTTTGCTAGCCCGGAGAGCATTGAGTTGGCTCTTGCTGACGAGTGGCGTTGGAACGTTGCTGTCGGCGGGTGTGAATGTAGCATTTGAGGCACCAGTCTTGCCAATCGACGACACCAAGCGAGGTACAAGGGCTCCAGCCCTCACTTCGGTGACCTTGGATGTCAATTCCGCTAGTCGTTTACCGGCACCAGGCATAGCAGCTCGGAGTTTTCCAGTCGCAAATGCCAAGATCACGCCCAGGGCGGCACAATCAGTGTCGCTTGACCAGTGACTTTCAAGCCAGCCCTTGAAAACGTTGTAAACTCGAAGACGGACTGGTACACCTACGGTTTGGCTGCTGCCGATGTAGTCGAAGCGGTCAATCAGGCATTGTGCAAGTTCAATCGGTGTGGTGAAAAGGCGGAAGGTGAGATAGAAGGCGTTGACAAAGACAATGTCTGGTGTGGACTCGTACGTCGTCAGCTGCTCTACCAGGGCTGGGAGCGAACCGCCTGAGATCTGGCCATCCTTGTTGTAAACTAGCTCGTGGACGTACGTTGTCTCCAACAGGTGCTCCTCGCCAGCAGCAGCATCCTCGTTGGCCAACTGCTGAAGCTCAGAGCAACTACCAACGCTGCTGACCAAGGTTTGACAGCTTTGCTTCTTCGAAGGCGAGTGATCTGGGGTAGTGGCACGAGTCGAGATAAGAGACTCGACACTAACAGAGCCGTCTCGTGCACTGGAGTGATAAGTGCTAGCGCTGTCGGTGACGGATGCGATGACGCTTTCAGCAATCAGAGAGCCAGCGAGACTTTCCTGCGTAGCGCTTGCAGGACTCTCAGCCGACTCAGACAGTGTGGACGGATTCAATACCGGGGTGGGCACAGCATCGAGAGGCGGCAGAGATGCACGGGACGATCTGAAGGATACGGCAGTCGGGCTTTCAACGACGACTGACTGAAGAGTTGGCTGTAGACTAATCCTTTGTTTTTCAATGGGCGAAGGGAGCGGTACTTCGGGCAAAGGCTTCGATTCGGAGACGACAGGTGGGAGAGGCTTCTCAGGCTCCTCGGTTGGCGGTGCTGGCAGTGGCTTGTTGGTCTCCATGACAGTTTCGTTAGGCTTAGGTGAGGCAGGCCTCTCAACTGTTGGCTGTTCTTGTTGCTCACTGGGGCTAGGTTCCTGGAATATCGATTTCTCTAGCCCCAAACCAGCAGCCTCAGTTTCAAACTCAAAGTCTCCAATCCTCTCGATCACAACTTTAGCCTTGGTGACACAGTCACCAGCGGCCCGTACACAGCTTGTGGCAGCCTTGACAATCTGCTTCCCAGCATCTGGCGCCACGACTTCTTCACCCTCTGCATCTGCCTGGATGAACATATCCTTGGTAGCTTGCACAAGTTCGGTCAGACGGGCGTACATGGCGTCTCGTGCTTCCTCGAGCGGGTTAGACCTTCGTGAGTCGCGTTCCCAAACTTCCTCAACAACTGCGAGGAGTTGGCGACAGGCGACGACGGAGTGTTTTGTGGTCTGAGCTAGCTCATCTGAAGAGCGCGATTGCAGGTGCAAACCGATAAAAGAGCCGATGAAGCCCAAAAAAGCGTCCTGAGCAGTGTTGAGCTTCTCAGAAGCGAGGTTTCCCCTGTGCGCACTGAACGACTTGCGCGTGTATGACAAGCGGTGCGTCATAGAGGTGCGTTTCGACTGAAATCCGGATTGAGAATGTAGTATTGAGGATTGAACAGAGTCTGCTTCGGAGGGTAGGGAAAAGGCGACGGACAGGCGGTTGAAGTTTCGCGACGATTGGACGGATCCAGTGTACCAGTCGTCCTGGGTCGATCCACTGGCCTGTGTGACTAGAGAATCGCAAGTATTCGCCGAGGCACTATCGTCGGTCGATGGGGCCGATGTTGTAATTGGTTCCACTGCAGCGTCCGAAGGCGGGGTGAGTGGTCGGTTGTCCACATCTTCTAACTCAAACAGTGATAGAGAGACGGCATCTGTTGTCCAGATGTCAAGAAAGCGAACTGCTCTGGTGACGAGCTTGAACGATTTGAACACAAGCTCATCCATGTGCTCAAATACTGGGAGGGGTAGCTCGTTTGACTGTAAAGCCTCCTGAAAGGACTTTGCCGTCTTGACGAGGGTAGAGAGATCGCCCAACAGGGCTTTGCGCATACGACGCAAACCTACATGGGCCAGAACGAGCCGCGAATCTTTTTGTAGACACTCGGTTCTTTCCTGATGAGAGTTAGCGGGAAGGCCAAGGATGAAAACATGGATGCACTGAATGAGCCCGACTTACAAGGAAAAGGCGTACGCCGACGATCATGCCTCGGACGTAGTCTTGCCTCGAAAAGGCCGCCAGATCGCCATTCTCTCCGTCGCGGACAAGATCCCAGATGTATGTGAGAGCAGTCAGCAGATTTCGAATAATGGGATGGTCATAGGGCTCGCAGTAGTTGGTCGGGAGCCATCCACGGGCGCCCGAGGCCAACAATGTGCCATCGGCCCATCCATTTGGATGAACGGAATGGACGAGGATGACATCGCCTTGGTTAATGGCTACTGTGATGGAAGACTCGTCCGTCGACGATGATGAGACGGTCGAGGTCGGGTTGTAGTGATAAAAGGCGCGAAGATAGTTGTGAAATTGGGGTTGTTGTAGTTGTTGTTGCTGTGATTGCTGCGGGGCCATGGCCTCGGTCGAACACTTTGGGGTCAATGGAGGCGACATGTGTTTTTGCGAGTGGCTTCCAAGAGTGCCCCTTGAGGAGGACTGTCGACTATGGCCGCGGATAGCTGTACGTGAGCGTGACCTGCTAGGTGACTTGTGAATGTTCAAGGGTGCAACGAGTGCACTGGATCGCTTGTCCATGTCTTCTTGCTCGTGGTTGGGGGACGCCATGTCAAAAGCGAGACGAAGTGGTCCTAGGAAAGGTCGCTAACTAGGCGCTGTACGTGTATACATGTGTAGCTAGCATTTGGTAGACGAGCCTGGTGTATGTAAAACGAGAGGTGTGGAACTGTGGTAGTGTGCTTCTTGTTGACGGGTTACTAAAATGTTGGATAGATGCAGGAATGAGGAACGACGACAATGGTGTGAGGAGAGCCCAAGCAGGCAAGTGGAGCAGGAGATGGGGGGTGGGGGCAAACGGAAAGTGACATACCCGATGTGACGGCAGCTAGCGCGCTGTGAAAGTGAAGAGGGAGAGGATGAAGCAGAGCGTGACAGATGTTGCAGTGAAAGAAAATGGGTGGGCGAATGGGCCAGTGGTGTTGATGTTTGCCGGGAAAATGGCAATAGTGAATTAGGCGGGCGGGTAGAAAGCTGGGACGGGGTGTGTTTCCGGGACACAGAAGATGGCACAGGGCAATTGTGGGTAGAAGGGTGGAAGGACCGAGTAGTAGAAGAAGAAGCTCAGACACGGTCTGTCTCTCGTCGAGGCGTGCAGGCGTTTGAGAGGGGGTGTGGTTGCTGTGGAGGGGCAGGAGCCAGTGCTTTGAGAGAGGGTGTAGGGCTCTATCTTGTAATGGCGATTGCGGCGCGGAGCAGGAAAGAAGCAGAGGATTAGGATTGCAAGGGTCGGCCTGGCTGTCGAGGTTGTTTGCAGGGGAGGGTTGGGGCGGCGGCGGCTCCTTCCAACGGTTCGTTTGCGAGGCAGGCGCACTGCAGGCCAGGGAAGGAGCGACTGGAAAAGAAAGCAAGAGCACGGGGGCGGATGGAGTAGCGCAGGCAGGAGCGGCCGGTGGGGGTTGCAATTGGCACTGCGGCAGGGAGAGGCTGCAGAGGCGGAGAGTCGTCGAGGCTGGACAGACTGGCTGGGCGTGTGTTATTATCACATCACGATGGAATCCTTGGGCCAGGCTGGTGCTGCTGTGCAAAAAGATTCATGAATAGCAGGACAGGGGTGGACTGTCAGTGGTGCAGGGGTGCTTGGCCAGGGTCAAGGAGCGTTGGCGGGCGGCGGCGTCGCTCCCCATGCCCTGCGAGTGCACGGCGTGAAGCTGATTCGCGGCGCGGCGGCCGTGCGGTGCTAGGGGAGCAGCCCGTGGGTTGTCCCCGGCATTTCTCCCTGGCACTGGCACTGGCGCTGGTGCTGCGGTGCTTTGGCCGTCGACGTTGGGGGACACTGCTCTCTGCTACTACTCACTATGCATCCACACCACACACTCACACACACCCCCCATTCACCCAGCCGACGACCCCCCGGGCTGGGATAGCGACACCATGCACGCACCCCCATCCATCCACACCCACTCACCCACCCATCATCATCATCACCACCACCAATACCACGTCCACATCTGCTCCCGCGACTGACTCCCACGCCCAGTCCCACGCCCGCCTTCACCACCACTACCACCCGCGGCGGCAGTGACGGGCTTGGGCGCGCAGCGTACAATAGCGCAAGAGGCCCAAATCCACTGCTGCCGCCCGCTAGCATCGCTGGTGGCCGTCGTGTGAACCAAATCTCCGCCAGCAACGGTACTACGCGTCTGGCGTCGCCTCCGCCCTCGTCCCCCCGTGCGTGGTGCGGTGCTGTGACGTGCCCGTCGCACGCCCAGCCCTCGACGTGCAACGCGCACACGCTCACGCACAATCGGGTGCGGTGCAGTGGCTTGCATCAAGGCCCCGCTTAGCGCAGGGCACATGTGCAGACGCGACCGAGGGCCTGCAGCAACAGGCCTGCCCAAAGCCCCACTGCGAATCCACTCCCCCAGTCGCAGACTCGAGGGCCTGGAATGGCAGCAGGAGCCTGCACTTACAGCCCAGAGCTAAGATCATCCCGCGCCGAATGCGCCCCCTCTATGCCCGAGATGGCAATTTCCGGCGGCCCACGCTCCCCGGTTGCCACGGCCGTTGCTCCATCCCATCCACGTTCATCGCGACCACATGGCTGTCCTGTACATAGTAGTACGCCCTCTAGTATAGCACTGCTGCTCCTGCTCCTGCTACTACTGCTTTCCTCGATTCCCCGGCCGGCCCGATGGCACGCGAGCATACCAACTGGCGGCATGGCGTCGGCACCATGCGCCTTGCTACTGCTGCAACTGCTGTAACTGCAACTGCTAGAGCCCTGCTACTGCAGTGCTACCATTCTCTTACTGCTCTTGGTCCTGCTTCTAAGCTGCCACACGATATATAATGCCGTCCGCGCACACGTCATGCTCGACCCGGCATCCTATGCTCCAGATCCCGGCAACCCACTAGCATCAATGCGTCTTCTCGCAGTACTTGGAGCAACATACTAGTACCGTGACGACGCTGACCATCCTGCAGTCCACGACGCCCATTGGGCAATATTTCCCTGTATTACTACGCTTCATGGTGGCTCTCAAAACTATCCTGCCAAGAATCAACCCATTTTGATGTCGTATCCATACCATACTAACGGGCCCAACTACTAAACTTTCGCATGCTTCAGCCCTGTTACATAATACTAATGATCACTGCACTGTTCAATCCACTCAACAGCATGCCGGCAATAGCCTAACTTTGCTCCACCCACAGTATAATGCAAAATCGCGTCGTCATCCAAAAACCTTCCGACAGCCGGACGTGTGAAATTTAACTTAAACTCACACTACTATACATATGTACCATAGGCTGCGCCTGCAAATAACCTGCGACATGGCCGACCAAGAAAAGTGTTGACAACTCTCTCGGCATCATCATGACGACGTTATGCTCCTCGCGTCCATCTCCGAGTAAAAATCTACGTTCGACGGACTCTTCTCCGTTCGTATATCGCTAGATGTCTCTCTATCTTGCTTCCCCCACAGCCCGTGGGGAATCTACCCGCAACCCGACTTGCTTTTACGAGCTGCAAACTTGATCAACAGTGCATGCTAGCGCTATTCGCAATGCAGGTACTTACAGCTACACCCCAGCCTCATTCTACATCTCGCTATCGTAACCCGTATCCGACCTCTACAACGTACGGCACTAGCCAGTCGCTCAACAATTGCCCCACTGCCCTACTTGGCAGCCAATATGCCATTCAACGCCACGGCTTTGGATCGGCAATATGCAACACAGTGTCTTTACACGCTCCGCCCACCGGGGTAAAACAAATGACATTTAGTGTCACTTGATGTGTCCTTCCTAAACCACAGCCCAGATGCCTCATTGGCCTACCGGCGCTTCTTGAGGCTGGTAGCACATGACAGTCAAGCATATTTCAAATGCCATGCTGGCGATCTTGACACCCGACATAGCCCGGTTGATAATCAGGAACCAAAGTAGTATTGTATCGTAGTACGCCACAAAAGAGGTCCAGTTTCCGTGTAGTAGACAAAGATCGTCGTCAAGGCGCGCTGATCTCCTCCCTCTGTGGATATGGGGGCTAGTGCAAGTGCCCCTATCTCTCTGAAGGGCTTTGATCGACCTACTTTTGAGACGCATAGCACAAAGTGGTAACCCACTCCCGCTCGTCGTTTAACAGCAACGACATTTCGCCATCATAAACCTCTTCCAATGAGCCAGTAACCAGCCAATTTGACCTCGTATTGCGAACTCATCGTGCGGGTATCTCATTGGCCGAAGCTAGCGACCCGTAGCGCGACTGCTATGAAAGCTACCAGCCGCGGGCACGCGTTAGCTGCCGGCACTCGCATCGCCGACTTCATTGCCGATGGCTGCACAATTCGTGTGAGCCAAGTTGTTACTCTAAATTTATCGGCATACAATACTTACTTACTGCCATCCGCCAATCAAGTTAACGTACATTTCAATGTTCTCATGCTCGGCACAGGGTTTTTACTAGGCGAACGCAATGTGCTAGAACCCAGACTCTTCGTCAGCCAACTTGCACTTCTGTGGACCTCGATCTCCGCCGTATGGCTGTGCCACATCTTGTGTGCATGCAAGGCCGACGACGACCCGAGGGCGCGGGCCGGATTGTGGGTCTTCCAATGAATGGATCCTACTCTACTCCGACGCAATATTACCGAGGCTTGGGCACTGATATCTCCCTGCCCATGGTGACAGAGCGTCATGTGAACGACTTTGAATGCATGTCTGCGGCACAGAAAGGGCCGCACAGTCAGATATCTTTTCTCCGAGGAGTGTTCCATGTGCCGCAGCCTATGCTGTTTCCAAGCTCTTATGCGCTCTGTTGCGTAATGAGGCGTTCGTCTCCGAAGCAGTGCTGGTTGTAGTTTTCCTGTTACAGTGTCATGAAGAGTCCATCATTGCGCGACATACTTCACTGGCACTCGTCTCCAAGACAAGGCTCTATAGGCAATACAGACCCCAGCAGTAACAAAACAATATTCTATATATGTATACGGCAAGAATCTCGGGTTTGAGATATATATGCCGTCCTCGTTGAGGTATTAAGTGGTCATCAAAGCCAAGGTGCTATTTTCGCAACGTTCCACTGGCTCAACAGGCGACTAATTCCAGGGTCCAGGCCAATTCCGACTCTCTACCGCGCTCCAAGGGATCGTCCTAAGCGACTCTCACGACGCTACCCATACCTATGTATGTGCTTAGCTTTCAACCTCTTCTCGCATCACTCAAGCTCTGTCCTGCATCTCATCGAGCCTCCCGGCTTCCGCGTGCCGCCTCTCTTCCCTGCTACAACGATGGCGTTAAAGTCGATCCTCGGTTGCAGTGCCCGCCTCTACACCAGCCCTGCTGAACATGGCTGATCTCCACTCCACATCTCGGAAGAGCATCCGGCTCTGTCTACTTGAAACTATCTTGTCAATCGATACGAGAGGCATTGCTCTTCATCATGGCTTCAGTGCAGTTACGAGAGGCAGTTTTTCTTCTTCTCCATGTTGCAGATGCCGTGCTTTCGCATGATGGCAAATTTCATGCCACAATGTGCCTTTGCTGCGGCGTAGTTGCCAAAGCCCCTCAGCCAGCCCTTTCATTAAGCATCTGAATATTTGCAAAGTGGAACTTGCATCACGGATCCACTATCGTGTTGGCTATCGACTCAATACAAAGAACATATGATGATAGTAGCTGACTATAAACGCCACAATCCAACAGAAAGCAATACGAACACTTTGGCACATGTCGTGTCACGGTGTACCTGCATATACGCATACATAGGTGCTGACAGGAGTCATTTGTAAAATGACGTCCGGTATTTTCGACTCGGCCAATATGCAACTTCCGATCTCTGATGCCCCGCCTTCAACCGACAAGAAGTTTGCACGATTCTGCCCATAATTTGGCAAGCACAACAACAAATACATCATCAATCACAATGGCAACAAGTCCTGTCTACATATCGTTTTTTAGACCAACCATTCAAAATCATCTGTACGTACTCATGGCTCTGATGATACCCTGCTTCCCATATCATCCGTTTACCAGGTCGACGTTTCACCATTCCCAATTGAGCCGGTAATGAGGATGCCCTCCGTCTCTCCGCCATTCGCGGAAAATCATTATCGCTGCCAACACCTTTCGAGTAGACGACGAAGCAACCTCGAATTTCGGGACCTACCCACATGTTCGAACGCGGCATATGTAGCTGGTATCAGATCATTCTCAAGGCGTATGGGATCTGTCTCACATTCTTCCTTTTCCTGGACTAAACCTGCTCAAAATGGCAAGATAGCTGGACAACGTCGATAGCTGCTATTGCCACCCTGGTAGGTTATTGCAGACGGAGAAAGTGCAAGAGCATGGGATGGGGAAGCTAAATCCTGATCTGCGGTGGGGATTGCACTTTTGGTGTTGAAGCATTTCCGTTAGTTGAGCCGCTTGGGAGGAGAAAGAAAGAGCACACTTTACCGCACGGTATCATGGGTAATTGGTTGCGACAAAAGCAAACATGTGATCTGCTGGATAAACGGTCAAGGGTTGATTTTTCTGGTCGTAGGTGCATGCATATCCTTTTTTTCTTTCGGAGCTTGGCTATGCGCAGCAATCTGCTTTTGGAAAGAAGCAATACGTCGCAATGCCGGGCCGATATGCAAGAACCGCTGCAAAGGTGCGCTCGACTCCACAGCATCACCTGAACGATTGACTTTGTTTTGTCCAGATCTTTCGATTCTTCGTCGTCTCCTGCCCAACGCGATGTAACTTTGATTGCACCATCGGTCAAGTTTCAGAAACGCAGTACAAAAGCAATCTTGAGTCCATCCGGCCCCACCATAGCACACTGCATTTCAAACTCTAAGTCTTCTGTATCAACCCTCCGAGTCTATTACAAAAAAGTTGATATGTGAAGGATCTTGTGTCATTCCTGTGGCATCACTCGTCCGCGGACTTAGGATGAATAATCCAAAGACAAGAGAATCACGACAGTTTTCTTCACTGCATGCAGTTGTCATCATGGCAGTTATCCTCATACACAGACTGCAGCAGTTGTCTTAGACATACCAGGACCTTCCCTGTTTGTCAGAGTAGAGCTGTAACAACTCGATTACTGGATAAGGAACCGCAACTACTTGCCGAATTAGCTACTGTACCTACCCTCTTTAGACCAACACGCAATATCACCAATCAGCTCGCATGACAAAGGCACCATGGTACCTCGCCGACTTCCACACTACAACCCTGGATTGATCTTCCACACAACATACTACAACCTTGACAACTATGCTCCTACGCCGAGTCACAACTCTTGTTTGTATCCCGCGCGTGTGTACTACTCACATACAATTCAACTGCCGTGCAAATGGCTCTCTTTCTAGGGTATCCCAGTCGCGTGTTCTGGCCTTGACTCGAGACACACAGCTCCCCTCGCCATGGCAGCGTCTCGTTTTCAAACCCGAAGTGCCAATGCACAGCCAATATAGCATCACATTGCATTTACGTTTGCTATCTAGCAACTATGTCGCTTGCATCTTGAACTAGGTACCTATATCCCCCCTCATTATATCCAAATCTGCAGCCCTAATCGCTTAGGAAAGGCGATGCCGCTGTCTTACCTATCTCGACTCACAATCCCGGCTTCTGCAAACCCACACGACTCACTTGCCTTCCTGTCATATGCAACGGGAAAGATGCGTATGTACTTTTCATAGGAGATTCAGCGTCCCGCATTGCGAATCTTTCACATGACTTGAATATGCCGACACAGTAGCTTCGCGTTCCTCATCCCCGGCACATGAATACCGCAAGAGGCAACAGAACCGTAGTAAAATGCAAAAACAAGTTCAACCAATGAAAAATCCTCCCGAATATGAAATAAAATCAAGGCTGCTTTCCGATGCAAGCACATCATTTTTCGATCCCTCCCTAGGATCTTCCTTTCCACGTTCGTGCGCCCAGCTCGCAGCTGGGAACACCGGACATGACTGCCACCCAACCAGAGAGAGCGGAATAGCGGGTGTGAGACGGAAAGAGAGTGAGCACCCTCGCCCGTTGCGAGTTACCGTACTTTTACTACCGGTGGCCCCAACAAAGTTACCGTGTTAGATGCTTATTCAAACCTTGATCATCGACATCAGACCATGGGCCATGGCCTTAGCCACGCGTCAGACGGGATCGCTGATGGGGTTGCCGCTGTGTGCACAGCAGTCAAGGGTTCGCACATGGTGGCGAGTCAGTCCGCCTTTGACCTGACAAGGGATATGCTTGCTGGGTATGGGTTACTTACCTTGCTGGAAGCCGACCGTGCGATATATCGATAAGGGTGGACTATCGTGTTGGTTTGCTATCGCGTATGACCAGCGAGTAGCTAAGTGAGTAACAGAGAGAGTGTGCAGGTTCTTGGGTGACTTGGTAACATGACACTAGGTATGTACTTACGACACTCAACCATTAGTATCATGACCACTACTACCAACCTCATACGAACATACTTTATCCTCCCACTCTGTATACCTATTTCGTACAAAACTTCCCTCATTTTTCCATCGTCCACGTCCATCATCACATCCCCCCACCTCCTGCTTCTCTCCTCAACGCGCGCGGCAGGATCAATCACAAACACACCGAAATATCACCGATGGCGTCCCATTCACCCACACGGTAGTGTTTTCGCTCGTTAGTTCCCACTCTGTACATTGATTGTCGGCTGGAAACTTCTTGGGATCGGCAAGCCTCCTTGTCCGCATCCACATCCACATCCACATCCACGTGGATTTCTTCGCCCACTGGTCTCTCGCGCCTCGCCTCGTCTCGCCTGGGTCTCGCCTCGCGTCCCCTAACCCTCCCTGAGTACTTTGGCCTCGTTACGACTCAACCGCCTTAGCCCTGCAACGCAGCTATAGGCAATACCACATATGAACTTTAATTCTTGCGCACACATGGTTCGAGAACCTTGCCGCGCCGGGCATGTACATGTCTGTTTATACAGACGTACACATATATATACGTGTGTGTGCGTAAAGTTTGCCATGCCATTCCTTGGCTTGTACTTGAGCGACTGTGCCTTCCTTCCTCACTTTCCGTTACGATTCGAGATTGCAGTACACGCACACATACACGCACGCACTTGTTCTCTATGTCTCACTAAGAAGAAAAGAGATTAGATTATGG